CTAAGGGTCGGATCTGGGTCGGATCTGAGGGTGTTAGGTCTGGATAAGGGGTGAGGGGTGGGTGTGAACTTACCTGTGCTCCTAGCCGTCGTCCGCCCCTGCTCGCCGCCGTCCGGCGACCGTCTAAACCACCGGCAGGGAGGATGGACGATGAGAGTCGAAGTGCCGGCGACTACTCCAGGAAGAGCCGTTACAACGAGAGAGAGCAGATGGAATATTTGGAATTTCTATATTCAGGTAAGGGAAATCTTACTCGTATCTATGATGTATGTAAGGCATTCTATAGGGCAGACCATCAGGATCAATCTCTTCAAGCATACTTAATGGACTTCAAGAAGACATATGAGGCCTTAAATTCATTAATGCCCTTCACTCCAGATGTCAGAATTCAGCAACAACAGCGAGAGTAGATGGCAACTATTAAAATCTTGGCAGGCTTGGCCCCAAGATTTGAGGCTGCCCGAGAAAGGGTCCTTGTAGACTTGGAGGTTCCCACTCTACAGGATGGGTACTCACAGGTTCAACGTAGTGAGAGTGTGAAACCCATAGAGCCTTCAGATGGTGTACCCCAGAATGCTCTTATAAGTCAGAGGATTCAAATTGAGTCAGCAAAGCAACCATATAAGTCATTCGTTCGTAGTAGCACACCACAGAATCAAGAGCCCATAATCTGTCATTGTTGTCACAAAGAGTGACATTATAAGTGTGATTGTAGGAAATTTCAACGTGTTAATCAAAGGGGATGAGCTGCACACTTAGCCTCTGGTGAAAACTCTAACCCCCCTACTTCAACAGATGAGTATGCCTAATTCATCCAATTCAAGGAGTTCCTGCAGTGATCATCTCCTCCTATGGCGGCAATTACGGATTCAGGTAATGATAGATAGTGCTTGTCTTGTCTCGTCTTCCTCCAAGTGGGTTATTGATTCCGGAGCCATAGTCCACAGATCTATGTCAGGTAATCCTAGCGTCTTCTCCACTTTTCAGCCCTACACATTTCATTCCCATGTTACCCTTGCTGACGGTTCCACATCTAAGGTCCTTGGGTCAGGCTCGGTCATCCTGTTTTTAGTTTACCCCATTTCTCATTTAATCTGCTATCTCTTAGTAGACTTGCTCGTGATTGTAATTGCGTTGTCGCATTCTTTTCTGATCATTGTGTGTTTCAGGATCTTACAACGAAGAAGATTATTGGTGAAGGACGTGGGACTAATGGCCTATATCTTCTCAACACTTCCGTTCCTAAAGCAGCTGCTTGTGTTGGGATTGAGTCACCTCTCGAGATTCATTATCGTCTTGGTCATCCATCCTTGTCCATGTTAAAGAAAATTTATCCTCAACTTCAACATCTTTCTGTTTTAGAGTGTGAATCATGTCATTTTGCTAAACACCTCGTGTTAGTTTGAGTCCTAGAATAAATCTACGGGCAAGTGTTCCTTTTGAGTTGGTTCATTTTGACGTTTGGGGTCTTTGCTCGGTTGTGTCAAAACCCGGATTACGGTACTTTGTTACTTTTGTTGATGACTATTCACATATGACTTGGCTCTATTTAATGGCATCTCGTCCTGAGTTATTTTCTCACTTTCGTTCGTTTTGTGTTAAAATCCAAAACCCACTTTAATGTGCCTCTTAAAATTATGTGTGGTGATAATGCTAAAGAATAGCTTTCCAGCCCCGTACAGTCCTACATGCGTGACCAGGGCATTCTCCACCAAACTTCTTGTGTGGATACTCCAGCCCAAAATGGGGTAGCTAAACACAAAAATCGACATTTGCTTGAAACTGCACAAGCACTCTTGTATCAATCAAAAGTGTCCAAGATGTTTTGGGCTGATGCCGTTGCCACGACATGTTTCTTGATTAATCGCCTTCCATCTTGTGTCCTTGGTGGCCAGCCACCATTTCATAGTCTCTTCCCTGATAAACCTCTTTTTCCAGTCCCACCAAAGGTCTTTGGGTGAACATGTTTTGTAAGGAATGTTTGTCCATGTTTCACTAAGCTAGATCCAAAATCCTTGAAGTGCATCTTTTTGGGGTACTCCCGGGTCCAAAAGGGATATCGTTATTATTGTCCTAGTCTTGGTCGATATCTTGTCTCCATCGATTTGAGTTTCCATGAGCATGTTCCTTTTTCTTTCCCTACAGACTCTGTAAATGAGGAGGAGGGTTCTGGTGACATTTTATTCTACACTATCTCTAGTACTACTGTGCCCTCTGTTGGTGCGCCTCCCACCATTCAGGCTTATTCCCGTCGAAAAAAACCAGTTGCGCCTTCAGTTGTCCCTGAATCTCTTCCTGCCATATTGATTGATCAACTACCTACCCCTACACTAGTCTCACGCCCTGAGCCAAGCACTTTGTCGTTGGATCCTGATCATGTTGATGATCTACCCATCACTTTGCGCAAAGGTAAGCGGTCTTGTACCTACCCTATTTCCAATTGTGTCTCTTATGATCATTTGTCTTCTACTACATGTGCACTCACCTCTTCTCTAGATTTTGTCCCTCTTCCTAAAACTGTTAGAGAAACACTATCTCATCGTGGCCATGATAGAAGAGATGAAAGCCTTGAAGCACAATCATACTTGGAGTCTGGTTTCATTGCCGATCGGCATGAAATCTATTGGTTGCAAGTGGGCCTCCTCTATTAAGGTTAATCCGGATGGGTCTGTGGCTCGTCTCCAAACTCGGCTAGTGGCCAAAGGATATGCTCAAACCTATGGTGTGGATTATGATGAGACTTTCTCTCTAGTTGCCAAGCTCACTTCTGTTCGCTTTGTCATCTCTATGGTTGTGTGTCATGATTGGCCATTGCATCAATTAGATATCAAAAATGCGTTTCTTCATGAAGCTCTTGAGGAAGAGGTTTATATGGAGCAACCTCCAGGGTTTGTTGCTCAGGGGGAGAATGAGAAGGTATGTCGGCTGCATAAATCTTTATACGGACTAAAACAAAGTCCTCGTGCATGGTATGGCAAATTCTGCCAAGTAATTGAGCAGTTTGAAAATGGTGAAAGGCCAATCTGATTATTCCGTCTTTTATAAGCGATCTAGGGGTGGAATCATCTTATTGGTTGTTTATGTAGATGACATCATTATTACAGGAAATGATTTTGCAGGTATTTCATCACTCAAGACATTTGTCCATGGTCAGTTTCAAGCAAAGGATCTTGGACCGTTGAAGTATTTTCTAGGGGTTAAAGTTTTGCGAAGCAAGAAAGGCATATTGCTTACACAGTGGAAGTATGTGCTTGATTTGTTGTCTGAGACTGGAAAGCTCGCATCCAAACCATGTAATACACCTATGGTTCCTAACATGCAATTAACGAAAGATGGTGAATCATTTAGTAATCCAGAGAGATACATGAGATTAGTGGGTAAACTTGACTACATGGTTGTGACCCGCCCAAACATTGCTTATCCTGTTAGCATGGTAAGTCAGTTTATGGCATCCCCAACAATTGATCATTGGGCTCCAGTGGAACATATTCTATGGTACTTGAAAGGAACTCCCGGTCGTGGTGTTGTCTATTCAAATCACGGTCACATGAACATTGAAAGTTATGCAGATGCAGATTATGCAGGGTCGAAAGATGATCGTAGGTCCACCTCTGGTGATTGTGTGTTTGTTGGTGGGAATCTGATTTCATGAAAGAGCAAGAAGCAGAATGTTGTCTCTCGTTCTAGTGCTGAGTCTGAGTATAGAGCCATGGCACAAGATGCGTGTGAAATAGTATGGATATATCACCTCCTGAGTCCTGAATGAAACTGGTTTCAAAGCTCCCATCCCCGGAAACTATGGTGTGATAACCAAGTTGCTCTTCATATTGCATCCAAACCAGTTTTTCACGAATGGACGAAACATATCAAAGTAGATTGTCACTTTGCTCGTGAGAAAATACAGAAGAGATTGATTTCTACTAGATTTGTGAAAACAGAAGATCAATTAGCAGATCTCCTTACTAAAGCGCTAAATGGCACCAGGGTTATGTATTTATGTAACAAGTTGGGCATGATAATTATATATGCTCCAACTTGAGGGGGAGGGTTATTAGTAATAATATTAGTATTTTAGTTAAGTCTTGAGATTATGGCATGCTTTGATTTGGCAATTAATATGGGTGATTTAGGCATTAATATGGGTGTTGTAGTTTCCTTATATTAGCACCCTTCTTATGTATATATAATTATTTGTATTATGTAATTATATATAATGAGGAAAACCTCTGATTATCAATCACTGAATAAGTTCTGATCTGATCTATCTAGTGTGATCTCTGATATGAATGTATTTATATTTAAAGTTGTTTTTTCTCTGATAAGTAATAAGTAATAAGAATAAGTTGAAGAGAACAGGTTCTTAACCCCAAGTTAAAATAAGAGTTTGTCATATCTCTTTACACCAACTTGGTTCATCTTTTCCTATTTTTATTCTAGCATTTCGTCCCTCACAATTTCTACTCCTAAATCTATTCTTTTCCTTGATATAATAACAAAAAAAGAACTCTTAGTCTTTAAACAATCTCATATTTCGCCCCATATTATTTTCCCTTCATTTCCTCCGCAAATCCGGCATTTTATTATCTACTCGATAAGACCCCAGGTTGAAGTACATCAACTTCCCATCAAGTGCAAAATCTTACCATCTTGAACCAAAGCGTTTAACCACTTGCAAACACTCTCTCTGCCCCAGGAACAAAAGTTCAAAATGCATAAGCAACACTTAATGGACTGCGTGGTGTTGGACAGATTGGACTTCTAGAGGGATAGTCGAGCTAATGATTCACGATCCTTGAGGATAGGCTTGCATATAGACTAGACAGATGAATTTGGCCAAAACTTGTTCAGATACGGTGATGGAGTTTATCATTGGATAGGAGTATCTCAATTGAACTATAAGACATTTTGGCCAAATCACACCCTCTGTGGGTAAGAGGCAAAGGAAAAGGCAAGCTTCACCCACTTAGTCCGAATAACACATATGGCCTGCCAAAAGGCATCAACAGAGACTATCTTGTCCGAACAATATCTTGCCAAAAGGCATCAATATATTTTGTCTGACCGTGATAGGATGCAATAAGGCAATGAAGTGCATAACCTGGGAGATATCTGCCTAAATGTAGATAACAAATACTATCTCTGTCCTAGTGTATTCATCCATATTGACTTTTTCCAAATTCCTATCAATCTGGTCAACGTTTGATCATTGTTTAAATAAAAACCCAACTGCTTTTTAATAGAAATGATATCATTAGATTTATGTTGTCAAAAACTTTTAAAAAATTATTTTATTGTGTTAATATGGAATATAATTTTTATTCAAATGATGATCAAAGTTCGTCCAGTTTGAGCAAAAAGGACAAAAACACTTGGACGAATGGAGTATATCCCAAACATATGGAAATCTGTCTACAAAATCCATGGAGATATCTGCCTAAATTTGTGTGGAATTGGCAGTGGTTAATGGAATTTCATGCGCTGTAAATTAAGCTACATGTGCTGCTGGCAAACATGTCAAAGGAATTCCCGTACAAATTCAGCCACCGACGTCATAACTTTTATTTCAAGCTTCCAGCACAAATATTGGCGTATTTCTTCTCCCCCTTTACAGCACAATCTCATAGCAACTTCAAGGCTGCTTTGTTATACTTGTTAATACTCCCAACCAAAAAGCCATCTTACCCGGCCATAAACGCTTTAACCTGAAACCGAGCTGGCAAACCCTTGGTCATTGCATGTACTCAAAAGGGCTGCACTATTACTTGGTCTTTATGGCATCGATGGTGGACCCTTTTCAAAAATGGGTGCATAGCATTTTAATATTTTTCCTTTGAATTATCTTTTACACATGATTGTTTTTCCAATTACTTTACTTGCGGTACCTCTTAACTCACTTTGGTTCGTGTCTTTCTCAACATACACAGTTATTCCATTCTAACATTTGAAGCGTATAAGATACCACACCTAATAGCATTTTGCACATACCTTTGTTTGGGATATTCTATATATCTAATGAAGTGTTCATTTTATATATATATAGGTGGCTATCGTTACTCCATTTAATTTTCCACTGGAAATTCCTGTACTACAGTTGATGGGTGCATTATACATGGGAAATAAGCCTGTACTGAAAGTTGACAGCAAGGTATAAAATTTCTCAAGTTCTCTAACTCTAAGCTTCTTTTAATTGACAATGCTAGTATCTACCAACGAATTAATATTACTGGGTATATTTGTACCCATATCTACCCATTTTTCATCAGGTGTGCATTGTAATGGAACAAATGCTCCGTCTGCTTCATGATTGCGGGCTGCCATTGAAGGATGTTGATTTCTTAAATTCTGATGGAAAGACTATGAACAAACTGCTTTTGGAGGTTAGTTTCTTAAAAGCTTCTTTTATTAGGAAATATCAGAAGAGTTCTCTTAACAACAGTAACAGGATCTGTCCAAATTCATATCTGTGATTATTTCTGTCTAGTGTCTTTCCAAATTTGCTATGACATGATGTGAACATCACTGGCTTGTGATTTCATTGCAACCATACTATGCTCATACCTTAAGAATAAGAAATAAAATACTCCTTCCGTCCCAAAGCAAACAACACACTTTTCTTTTTGGTCCAATCCAAAACAAAGTCTCATTACTTTTTTTTGGTAAGGAATATGTGGCCATCATTATCTTTTTACTTCAAATCAATTTCAGCGCCACACTTTTTACTTTTCAACACTTTTCTTAAACTTCGTGTCCACCAAATTGGACTTTTAATTTGGGACTGAGGAAGTACATCTTTTGGGAACATTTACATCTTGCCTAAAATAATTCAACTAATCATGGAGAGATTTATATTTATTGATTAAGAAAATTATTAATGGAGTAATGAGTGAATAACCTTCAACCTAGTGTTAGCTATTGTGTGAGCGCCTAACTTTGACCTCTGTGTTGGATATTGCGTGAGCGCTTGGATACCTATGTGATCGTCTCCGAGGTTGTTCCCTTAGACAATGCGTAATGGGGGCGTCACTACCTCATTAACGCCATATATTGCCTAACTCTACCACCCCTCCTGCGGCGTGTTCTTTTACAAAAAGGCTTGGGTCGCGATAAATATCACGAGTGAAGTGAAGGGGTTACATTAAATAAATAAACAAAAACTACAGCTCGTGTGGTCTCTTCAATAAATAAATAAAATATTTAATATTGGGTATCGATTGAAGAGCTTGAAACGGGCATGAAGCACTACACATTTTTTTGGTTATGTTGATATGACGTCCACATGGTCAAAAACACCCCAAAGGGGCTTGAACCACTACACATGGTCTTATGGTTGTTGTCACCTCCTTACCACATCGTGATTGTAACTTGTTCATGTTCTTTAACGATCTTACGGTATGGTCCATGTTAGAATATATAACAATCATTCCTGGGCCACAACCACAAGCTTGAGCTTTTGGTTGAGTTGGTTCCTTATCATGGTATCGGAGCAGGTTTTGGCCCACCTCGCTTGTCAAGGTGTTCGTCTAGACATTCATTCCTAGCGGCTCGTTTGTCTTTAGCCTAGTGTTCCGTATGGAGTATGTACCCAATGGCCTGTGGCCCGTTTAACACGATTGCTCGTCTGGAAGTCCATACCCTGCGGCTCGTGATCCTTTAGGTGTTGGCGCTCAAAAAAAGTCAAGGGGATGGGAGTTTATTTGCAAGTGGTCAACCGGTTAGATTCAAAATGGCCCGATTGTCCACTTGAGGGGGAATGTTAAAGAGCATCCCACATCGGAAAAGTGTGAGGAAATTAATCGGTATATAAGCTCTTAAGTTGAACTAACAAATCGATTGGATTCAATCTTTTAATGCGGTTCAACCCAAGTGTCTTATTGCCCAATCCAGTCCATACCAATCAGAGCTAAGGTCACGAGTTCGATTCCCAGCGGGAGCAGAGGGGGAGATTGTTGGCCATGTGTGCAGCAATTGTCTCGTGGCGGATGCTATGTGGGCCAAGTCACAATCGAATGTCGTGGGCGCTTGTGTGTTGAATGCACTATAAGGCTAAGGTATGCGCCTCTTCTAACACCAAATGGTTTTAGAAGAGTTGGTAGCGCCTAAGGTCCTACAATTGGTATCAGAGCCTTGATGACCAAGAGGTCACGAGTTCGAAACTCACCGCCACCCAGTTTAAAAAAATTAAGATTTCACGTGCAAGGCTCAAAGAGGTCACGCCTGCACGTGAGGGGGCGTGTTAGAGTATATAACAATCATTCCTGGGCCACAACCACACGCTTGAGCTTTTGGTTGAGTTGGTTCCTTGACAGTCCATATTAAACAAAGAGTGGGTTTCCTCTTACAATGCCTAATAACCCATAGGAACTTGATTTAATGTTTTTGCACTTGGTGGTAAGATCAAGAACAATGGATTGAGGGAACAAATGAAGGAAATCTACAAATGATCAAATGGTGAACGAGCAAGGTGTTTTTTAATTTCATCTTCACAACCTTTTAAAGATGTTTATTAACTAGATTATGATCATGCACCGTATCGGTACTTTTAACTCTTGGCAATTGTAAAATAGCTTTGTATTTACATTGGCAATTGTAAAGTAGCCTCGTATTCACATTGGACTTAAGGAGCATTCCTTAGTCTAATTCTTTCTGATATTCATGTGTAGCGATGATTCACGAATCATTGCATTGGAGTATTGGACAGAGTTGATATGTCCATTGATTATACACTCGTACTCAATCTGGCCCTCAGCATTTTTTGGACTAATGTGATCCTCAAAAATTCAATTTAGACCCAATTTAGTTGTCATTGTTGAGCATCACTTTGAATTAAAAATTGGATCCAAAGTTAATAGCTGAAACCTTGAGGGTCACATTTGGGTCTACAATTTGTCAACACAAAATATCCTTCTTATCTAGTACTAAATACTCCCTCCGTCCAAAATTAAACTTCCCGCTTTGACTCGGTGCGCAAATTTAGGCGGAATGAAAATTGTGTTGACTTTCCCTTTATGCCCCTCATCTTTTCTACCCTGTACACCCCACTGGAGCCGTCTACCACAGCTGACGCCGACACTTCTGCACCGCCGCCGCCGATGATGCTTTCGCATCCCCGCCATTCGCATCCCCGCCATCGAAAGCTCCCGGCATCGCAGCGCCCAGCCGTTGCAGCCCCTAGCATCCTCTCGCCGTCACAACTTGCTTCTCTCGCCTTCACAAGCATCCGCCTTCAAAGATCTATTTTTAGACTTCTCGTTAGGGAAGAAAATCAACATCCCACCATAGATCTGGAAAAAAATAAAAAAAATTGTCCCTCCAAATCTAGATCCGACGAAGATGCAACCAGATCTGAAAAAAATTTTCTTCTTCTAGTTGACGAAAGAAGGAAGAAAAATAGAAAAAAAATGAAGAAGAAATAAGAAGAAGAAGACAGAAGAACAAAAAAGAAGAAGAAAAAGAAGAAGATGAAGAAGAAGAAGATGAAAACAAGAAAAGAGGTGGCTGTATAGAGTCGGAATTGAGAGAGGAAGAAAAGAAAGAAAAAGAAGGAAAGAGGAGGAAGAGTGGGGAGGGTGGCTGACGAGGTGGGAAGGAAGAAAAAAGGAAAAAGAAAAAGAAATGGAATGGATGAGGGTAGTTTTGTCTTTTAACCATGTAAAACTTACTAAAAAAGGAAATGGGAAGATAATATGTGGAGTTGTGGACGGATGAAAAAGGAAAGTGGGAAGATAATTTATGGACGGAGGGAGTATGTATCAATATTAATTTGGGTTTAAATATTGTTATTAGTAATAATATTAGTATTTTAGTTAAGTCCTGAGAATATGGCAGGATCTGATCTGGCCATTAATATGGGTTATTTAGGCATTAATATGGGAGATTTAGTTTCCTTATATTTGCACCCTTCTTATGTATATATAGTCATGTTGTATTATGTAATAATGTATAATGAGGAACACCTCTGATTATCAATCACATGGTATCAGAGCCAGTGTGCTCTAGGATTAGGGTTCATTATTTGTAAAAAAAAAGGGCTTCTGCCATTTTGACGCTGTCTCTAAGGGTGCTCGCCTGACGTCACCGCCACCGTGGGTGGAGTCGCACATTGCAGGAGAACAATTCTGGAGAATCTCTCCTTCGTTGGAGACCTCACGCCCAGCCAGTGCTGGTCAGATCCACTGTCAAAAATCACTGTCAGGGTCG